ATCATCCATCATCCATCCATCATCCATCTATCATCCATCCATCCATCCATCCATCCATCCATCCATCCATCCATCCATCCATCCATCCATCCGGGTGTATTTGATAGACTCTCTAGCCAATAGGTGTGTTTACTCAGATTCTGCAGGTGTGCTGATCTTCTTTACCTTGGATGGTTCTAAGCCAGTGGCAGGACAGCGTGGGTCAGATGGCAGCAGCAGGAAGTACACAGATCCCATCCTGCTTCCTGCTGGTCAGGTGACTGTCAGAGCCATGGCTGTTACAAGGTAAAAATAACCTGAGCAACCGTCATGCAAATATGGGAAACAAAAGTTCATCACTCCCTGTTTACCTTTGCTGTGTGTGTAACCCATGTGTGGTGTAGGGATGGCAGAGAGAGCTCAGTGGTCACCAAGGGCTTTTCTGTGGATCAGGTGGAAACAGGCATCTCAGACGATAGCAGGGATGGTCTGCAGAAAAAAACGCAGGTAATAAAACAGAAACCAGCAGCTTTCCAGTCAGCCGATCTTCAAACATCACTCAGCTGTCTGGTGTGAGAAGTTTCACCTTCATTGTTTTGTTGTTTCAGCAACAGCCTATAGGAACTTCGGGTTCTATTGAGCACTTTGCTGGTTCTGCTCAAAGACCTGCAGGTATGTTCAGACAGATCAAATGTGCACCTGTGAACAATGGATGGATGGATGGATGCATGGATGGATGGATGGATGCATGGATGGATGGATGGATGATGACCCCAAGTAACTGTTAGAACACCAAGCTAGCTTCAGATGGTATCAAATGTGTCAAATGTGAGGTCTTGGGGCCGAATATGGCCCACAGCAGGAATTTATACGGCCCCCAAAATTCAATCTAACATATTATGTCAGGAAGTAGAGCCACGTGTTCGTTTAAAGTGAACAAATTGGTTAAAACTGCAAAAGTGAAATTATAACGAAGGAGCAGTGTGCTCCTTGTTAATGATGAAATATCGCAATGAAATTCACATTCATCTGCTGCAACCAGGCCTTTTAACACTTGTTACTGCCAAAGTGGCTCGGTGCAGCAATAAGTTTCACACATCTGATTTATAAAATTAGGCTAAAGTTATTAAACTGATGCAGCTTCTTGTCCTGTTGTCCATACTGTCCCTCCTACTCCTTCAGGTCCTTGCTTTCTAAACGGACGCTTTGGCTCCAGAGGCTCCAAGATCAAAGCTACTGCCCTCTTGTTGGGTTCTTCCCGGCGCTCCCGATCTGCGGTAAATGAACACAGTGACGGATTCAGCTGTAGAAACTGTGAACTTCTGGTTTAAGCCTTTATTTCAGTATACTTCCTGTCTACCAGGATTCACGACATCAGGAGCAGCTGAGCAGCACGCAGTGGTCCCAAGTTCAGAGGGACAAAGACTCCCCGTGGTACAGACACAAAGACAGGGTCAACCCCACAGTTACTGACCTCAGTTGTCCAATGGGAGAACTCCTCCATCACTGCCTCCATCACTGCCTCTCATCCTTCAAATTATCCTCCACTCTATTTGTGGTCAGGTGTCCTCGGTGTCTCAGTGCCCGTCCTCCAGACCCGTTTGCCCGGTTCTGTCCTCAGTGTGGTTTTGTGATTCCGCCAGTAACTGCCCCCAAGCCGTCCCCCGCTGAGACGGGACAGGTGATGCAACCGTCCACCATACTGCTGAGGGAAGCTGCAGAATCTCTAAGTAAATTTGTGTGGTCTGGTGTCAGATGCTGCAGTGCGCTTCCTGCCAATCTCTGGTTCCCGTTAATACTCAGACCTGTTTGATCTGCGAGACGTCCACAGATAGATCCCAGCAGCCCCTGCTCAGTCTGCAGGTACGTTACACTGACACTGGCCCTGATGGAGTCCAGATGTCAAATTAAAGGCGCTCTGCTAGACCCGAAGTTGATTAAAGTCAGGATTTTTCAGTTTTAAAGTCCTTCCTTTAGTTTCCAATTGACTGGACCTCTGTTGCGTTGTTGACTCAGGGTCATGCGTTGTGTCCTTCCTGTGGAAGTTGGAATCCAGATAAGCTTTCCAGCTGTGTGACCTGTGAGAGTCGCCTGCAGCCGGTATGTCTGGACCTGCACCTATGTTTATACATGCTGCTTCCATGTTTCACCTGCAGCAGTTTCTTTTGTGGGGTTGCAGGTTAATCAAGGCCACAACAGCGCCCCCTCTCGCCAGGCTGCAGATGACAGGATGTTTTCCTGCTCCAGATGTGAGCGTTTAAACCGTGGTGATGCCAGATTCTGTGACTGGTGCGGCATAAAGGTGAACAAGCTGCTGCTTTATTTCCAGTCTCTCCTACTGATTCCCAGTTTGGCTTGTTTTTAGGGAAACCCTGTGGAATGTGTTCTCATGTGACTCGTATGTTTAGCTCCGTAACACCATCAGCTGTGTGTCGTGTTGGCAATGCGGAGCAAGCGCGCATCCCGGTGCTCTCTTCTGCACTTCCTGTGGCGTGCTCCTGGATCAACATTCCCCGTCCAAACCATGCAATGACACCACACCAACTGCAGAGGTCACCACCTACAGCCAGGTACAAAGCACCACCTATTGCAACCCATATGCTGAATCCTTTTCCCCATTTTAACCAGCTGGACTCCTGCCTGCATGCAGGTTTCAGCTCTGACCCAAAATGATGCAGCCCAGAAGGCCATGCCCCCATCAATCTCCGCCCCCAGGTTGAAAGTTGGCCCTCCCTCTGTGTATCAGGCTACACAGACTGTAGGACTCTACTACCCCTCATCCATGGCACTACAGAAGAAGGAACAGCAGAGGGCAATACAACATACTCAAGAGCTGGCGAACCGAGACCGCCGACCGCCGCTCACTGCCATTAGCCCTGGTCGAGGTAAAGTGGTAGTAATACTAGAAGGCATTGCTACTGACCGCACACCACTAGTATTGCTGCTACTACTGTCAGTACGGATGGTAGCCTGAGGAAAGGTATTACTGTGAAAACATGTTGCTAGCTAATTCTCCTGTGTCAGAAATGATGCAGTTCCTGCTATCAGGTCAGGGATCACAGGATGTTGATTTGAGATATCAAAACCTGGATGACAATAGAGTGTAAGGGCCAAAATCCTGATACTATGAGAATGAAGTCATAATATTAGCAATATTAGGAGACTTTGACTTCACCATGACTTCAAAACAAATGAAACCTTCAGCACCAGGTCTCTGCTTCTAGCTAGGAAGGTGTGTCTGCGGGGTTCATAAGATATTCAAAGTGTTCTTTCCACCATCCAATTAATTTCTTGATTCAAGGTCAGCAGCTCCAACCACCCATTAAAAACGGTGTTAGCAAAGCCCTGCTTCCCCATGTGGAATTGCTGGATGGTTTGTCACTGTCAGGGGCAGTCCTGATT